TTCTAAGCAACCCAGGTCTCCTTGTGCCACTGAAACCTAACATCATTTTTATCTATTTTTACAAAGAACTAAGAGGAACCTTCTTCTGCTTCATCACCTGGGAAACAATTTTGCCTGCAGCTGCCACCAGGACGCTTGTGCCAGACAAAAAAGACATGGGTTTCCTCCAGGGCCACCATCTTTATCATCCAACTTGACAAGCCAGCTGCATCCAGAGCAGACTGGTCTCAGGAAGGTGGCAAAGGTTAGTTGTAAAGACCATTTTTATTCTTCACACAGAGATGCAGCTAAATCAGAATTGTATTAGTCAGACACTTGCCTGACTGACAACCCAATTCCTTTGGCTGTTTTCTGATCTTTCAATTCAACCCTACCAATTCACAGAATAAAATGCTACATAAATATTCAGACTTTTCCTGCAGCATTTCTGTAGTCTTTCCAGTCACGAACTGCAACAGCCCAGAAGCCATGGCCAGGCACACAACCCAAGAACCGAATGCCCCTTGATCCTAAGGCTGCTCACAAGGAGTGAGACAAGGAGGGTTCCACTAACCCTTTGAGGTAAAGGCCTTCTGCACAATTCACAGTGATTGTAGTGATTCAGGCTTCACTGACCCCTGGTAAGAGAAAGTGTTGTGCCTCTAGCTCTCCTTTGTCCTGTCCTTTGCAGGAAAAGAGGCTCAGTGTACATTTCACTAGAAACAGGCTTTCTGCAGAACTCAGGTCCAGGAAAAGAAGGAGATCTTCAGTTGGGTCCTGAAGATTCCTTACAACATTGTGTCTGGTCAGTCCCCCAGAAAAATTAGTGTGTAGAAGAATTTATTTGTTTTTATTCCTCAACACTAAATGGGGAAGAGTATTTTTCCATTTTGTGCACAAGACCTGCACTCTGAGCATTCCTTCAGTAACATTCAGTCATAGTTTGAAAACATTTTTAAATTACTATCTTATTTTTTTAACTACTGTGGTGTAAAGAGCTGGAAATATGCATCAGACTCAGTTCCAACTTAAAAGTTAAATTTGCAGGAGGCAGCTGCTGCTGGGGGAGGAATAACTCAAGACAGAAGCAGAATATGACTGTGGAGATGTCCTTCCACTTTATCAGATAACAGATAGGAAAAGACAGTCATCATTTGCTCTCTCCAAGCCCAAGGCCATTACGAGACCAAAATCACTGGCCATTCTTTAGGTTAGGAAATCCAGCTCATCTGTCCTCTTATGGGATAAGTGGCTGACAAATTTTGTTATCTGCTGGTTTGAGTTTCTTGTACAATGAGTGAGTTTAAATCACCAGATCATAAGAAAGAAAGAAAAAAAAAATCCTACATAGAAGAAAAGATTTGAAAGAGACCCAGTAACTCCAAAAAGCAGGGATGACAGCTAAACAGCCAACTAGAGATGGAAAGCCCAAGTACAGTGATTTAAAAAACAAACCAAAAATATGTTTTCTCTAGCAGGTAATTAGCAGTAGCCTCAACAAGGAAAAAAGAGGCAGGGTTGTGAAGCAAGGCAATACCACAGCAGGGTCCTTTCAGTATTCCCATTATGTATTTGTGGTAAGAGGCCTCCATTAAGCTCAGGACAGCACGGGGACTCTTAACACATTAAAGCCCATGTGCTGATCTGCATATTGTTGTGAGTAAAGGTAATGCGCACTGTCCTGATTGAGTCTGCTGCTGGGGACACCTTCAGACTTTGTCCCTGTTGCCTAAGCAGCAATTACAAACACATTTCATTACCAGGCACAAGGGATTTTTATCAACATTTATACACTGTAACACATTGCAGCATTGTACTCTATTCATATGGACTTCTCCAGTGAGGTGGCCCCATTTGAGATACTCCCGGACCAGATAATTTTTTTATAAAAAGCATTGAGATTATGGTTAATTGTTTTCTGCTGCCCTCTCTGTCTTTTTTATTCCATTAAACAAACAGACAGTGTTTGGTATATGAGTAAGAAATGTAGTGCAACAGAAAATATGTTAGAAAGGAAATGATTACTAATCACTGCTTTTTGCCCAATACAGCTAAAATGACCTATTTCCTCAGCTCATCAGCTGAGCAAACCACTGACTTCAAGATGTGAGAAACCATCCTTGTTCTTTAGTTGCGAACACAATTTTGTTTCTGTAATGAATTCAAGGAGCAAATATGACCTGGGCTGAAAGAGAAGCACACAAAAGCTACCGTCAGCCCAGAAACAGAAGATATGAATGGGAAGCAGAGAGACAAACCTAAAACATTGTCTAACAGTTTATTAAGTAAGTTTAGTGATTTTAAAATGTGGAATTCAAGAAAGCATCAGTTTGGTTAACACTTGCCCAGGACATTCCAGTACACATGAGGAGGTAAAACATAAAACTACTCTTAAAATCAAACTGTACTGCTTTGAGCAGCAGTAAGATAGAAAGTTAACCACAGCCCTCAAGTGACAGATCAGAAGGAATTGAATTGAAGATGTAAGCTGCATGATTCATTATCTGGTGGAATTAAAAAGTATCAACTACCTTATGAGCACATTAAAAAAAACAAACCAGTATGGATGCACTTCTCTTATACTACATTAAACTGCTTGGGTTTCTCAGCATTTCCACAAGTGATCATGACTTTTGGTCAAATAATCACTATGTGCTCTTCATATTTGTATTGTGAGACACACACAGTGTCCAAATGTTTTGATTCAAGAAGCTTTAATTTTTGGGTGGCTTGTTTTTGCCAGGGATTAGAGGAGGTAGTTTTCAAACATCAACTCATCTGGAATTTTCAAATGGCAAGTTAAAATCATATATTTACAAGTGGCTTTGGGGAATCCCTTTTACTTTTTTCTCTGACTCAAAAACAGCACTAAAGGGTTCTTTCCCTTAAATAATCCCTCTAAACTGAAACAAAAGAGGAACACTTTGCAAAGAAAGCATTTTAAAATATGGAGTTTTAAAAAATATTCCTCCATAATTTCATCTACAAGTAGTTCTCAGACCCATGGCAGGGAGGAATGAGCTCAATGCCAATAAAATCTAGTTCCAAGAGGAAGAAATTATTTACTGGGAACATAGTTATCTAAAACCATACACATTCTTAGGAAGAAAGAATGTAATATGAAATTTATGCTTCAATATATATCCAGCCTTGAGTTCAAAAGGCAAAAGGCTTGCTTCAAAGAAAAGGACCTGCAACTTACACCTAAGCATACAAAAAAACTATATTTAATTTGGCAGGGAATTCACCTCAGTCCAAGCAAACAAGTAAAACAAGGCAACTGGCATAAGGTCCCTGCATCTCTACAAGTTTCTACTTCAAGTCCAGCTTTAGCCGGTTTGGCTGGAGATTGAATGTTCCCTCTCGCAGGACATGGGTCGAAGATGTCCAATGGATGAACCACTGGTTCATCTGGAGATGGTTAGCTCTCCCTTAGGATGATGAAGAATTGGTGCTGTTAATCCAAAGAAACTCTCAGGCAATCACAAACAACTTCTGCTTCCCTCTTCTCAGCTGACGGTCCTCTCCTGTTTTTCTCTGCTTCACTCCAGGACTCCATGCCTGTGGCATTGTAAGTGATCTACAGGGTGAAGGCAGGTTTGCTCTCTTGTAAGCATTTGAGTTCACTCCTCTGTGCTCACGACGGCTCAAGGTGAGATAAACTCCAGCTGCAGGAGTGAAAAAGCCTGCAGCACAGCTGGGGCTGACTTTGCCAAAACACCTCAGGAGTCAGGGGTTCCTTCACTCCAACCCCACCCCACAGCCTGTCATCTGCCTCCCAGGGATTTTCACAGCTCCCCGCCGCTGACTCTCCAAACATGTGGAATGGTGCTTGGCCACAGGAACATTTTAGCACAGTTATCTTTGGGAGAGGGAACCTTTGCAGCACTGCTCTGGGGGCCACTGCTCCTCTGAGGATCAGATATAGGTATCTGACTCCTCATAGGGTTCCCACCTTCCCAAAATATTTGCCAACTCTCCTTGAAGGGGGCAAGGTGAAGATACCACCACAAACCTAAATGCCCCAGCAAAACTCAATTACAGCGAAACCTTAAAACCATCCTGCAGTTTTGAAAACGCTGAGAAATTTCTGCAAGTTTTTCAGAAGGGGGTTGCCTTCTCATCTTTCTCCCACCCTTGGGCTGGCAAAACCCCGAGGTTTGCCACGGCCCCGGCTCGGAAGGCAGCCAGTGCCCAGCCGCGAGGGCCCTCCTGCGAGCTCCCTTGGGCCACGAGCACGTTCCCTTCCCTAGAGCTCGGGCAGAGCTCTTGAAGACGTTACACTGCTAAACGTTCAGGGTTTATTTATTTATTTCAGGTTTTTGACCAGAAGAGCTGTGGGTCAGACACCCTGGTTGACGCCTCGTCCAGGACCCCCCACCTTTCCTGCAGCTGCACGAGTGCCCCTGCCCGAGGCCCCAAGCCCCCGGCCAGGGAACGCCTTCCCCTGCCCCGGCTGCACGGGGAGGCCGACGGGCACGCCGGCGGGGGAAGTGCAGGGCGCCCATCGGGGCGAAAGGTGGGGACAGGTGCCGAGCGCGGCCCGGCCCCGACACGGCCGCGGGCGGGGGGCGCAGCGCGGCCGCTCCGGCGTCGGGAGGAGCCGCTCGGTGCCGCTCTTTCCCCCGCGGCCGCCGCCCGTCTGCGAGCGTGTGTCAAACCCACGTGCTCCGCCGGCCCGCGCAGTTGAAAAAAATAGAGCCCCGCGACAGAGCCCCGCGACAGAGCCCTGCACTAGAACCCCGCACCGCCACCTCCGCCGGCGGCCGCACCGCACCGCGGCCTGCGCCGTCCCCGCGGCGGGGAGGGGGGGGAGGGGTAGGAGGGGGCGGAGGAGGAGGAGGAGGAGGGCGGTGTTTTCCTGCGCGGCGCCGCGGCCGTCGCCCCGCCGCCGGCGAGCGTCAGGCGAGGAGGGGGGGGGGCCCGGCCCGGCCCGGCCCGGCCCTTCCCCTGGCCCCCGCGCCCCGAGGATGGCAGCGCTGCCCGCACGAGTGGCTGGCGGCGGTGTCCCTCCTCTTTTTTTTTCCGGCAGCGGCGGCGGCGGCGGCAGCGGCGGCGGATCATTGTTGTGTAGGAGGAGGGCGGCGGGGATGGACTTGATCTCTCGGGTCTCCTGCTAAGGCGGCAGCACAGCGCGCCCCGCCGCCCAGCCAGCGCTGCGCCGGGCAGGGAGGGACCGGCCCGGCCCCCCGCCCGCTCCCCGGCTCTTTATTTTTAGGGGGCTCTGCTGCTCCTCTCCCTCGCCCTTATCTCCCCCCCACCCCCTCCCCGCCCGCACACACGCACAGGGACACGCACGCACCCTCCTCCGGTGCCCTTTCATCCTTCCCCCCCTTCCTCCTGCCGCGGCAGATGCGCCGCGGGTCACCGCGCAGCTGGGACTATGGTGAAATTTCCAGCTCTCACTAACTACTGGCCCCTGATCCGGTTCCTGGTCCCTCTCGGCATCACCAACATCGCCATCGACTTCGGGGAGCAGGTAAGGCAGCGCCTCTCCGGGGAGCGACCTCCCCCGCCCGCCCTTCTGCAGCGCGGGGCTGTCGCGGTCGGCGGCTTCGCCGGGAAGGGAAGGGACGGCACGGAGAGCCAGCCGTACCGAGCCGTGCCCCGCCGTCCTACCCCGGCTCATCGCGCCGGGCGGGGACTGCGGCCCCTGGGCCGGTGGGGGCAGCGGGCGGCCGGTGCCGGCGAGCCTGCCCCGGCGGCCGCCCGAGAGCACGGGCTGCCCCGCACCCCCAGGAGATGCCCGGGGAAGGACGGTAGGGCTTGGGTTGTTTTGGGGAATTTTTCCTCCTCGCATTTCAGGATTATATAATCTGAAATTACATAATGCGTTGGCCGGGGGCTGGCAGTGGTTTATCCCCGCGCTGACACGGCCGCTCAGGTGCAGCAGCCCCTAGCGCAGTGCAGCGCGGCTCGGCGGCGGCTGGAGCGGGGCGCGGGGCGGGCGACCCGGCTGCCGCCGCCCGCTGCCGAAGGGGAGCCGCGGCCCCCCCGCCCCGCGGCGCCGCCGCTGCCGCAGCCGTTCGGGCCCCGCCGCCGAGAGCCCCCGCCGCGGCATCCCGCGGGGAGCCGCTCCGCACCCCCTCGGGGAGGGGGCGACTTCCCGGCGGGGCTTCGGGCAGGTGGATCTCCGGCTGAACCCCTGCCCCCGCCGGTGTTCTGTGCGCCTCAGCGCTGCTGCAGTTTTGTAGCGGTGTTGGTGTCCTAAGGCTGTCCCCTGCCACGGGCACCGAGAAGATAGCCCGGTGTATCCGAACCCACCGTCAGCCTGTCTCCCTGACATGCAGCCATCCCAGTTCGTCCTCCCAGTCCCCGCTTGCTGCGTTTGAAACGCACCGAGAACACGTTCAGTGCTTGACGTACCCACTCTCCTGCCCGAGGTAGTGCTCGTTTGCCACTGCACTGGGACGCCTCTGCTCTCACGCTTCGGTATCTATGACAGTCCAGGCCCCGTGTTAGGTCTTGCGTTAAGCAGCACTGTATAGGACCTGTCACTGCATTTTTAGTAGCAAGGTATGCGCTACTACTTACTCACAAGTGTTAAGCTGGGCAGCCACTCTAGGTATTGCACCCCAAATAGCTTTAGCCTTGTCCTAAGTCACTCGGTGTGGCTAAGAAGAATAGACATTTGCTCCTGTGCTTCTTGACCGAAGATACCGGAAAATTAGTGGGTACTTTCAAGCATTTGTAATGAAAAAGTGAAACCAAAAATACTACAGTGGGAAAAAACAGATAACATTAATCATATGTTTGCCATGGCTGTGTCAATCGCATTTTGATTCCTAGTCCTTTAAATAAACTGCAATACTAAAGAATACAATTCCATCCTTGTCTAACAACTACATGCTTTCCTACTAAGTCAGTACTCTTTAAAACATACTGGGGGGGGGAGGGAGGAGAGGGAAGGGAAATCTAAGTATAGAAATTACAAAGGAAAAGGAGATTTAAATGCTAATAACTATGCCATGTTAATAACATACGGCAGAAGTTAAATTGAAAGCAGTGCACTTAGCAAACTGAGTATGACAGGTGCATTCATACAGTTTGCTTCATACAAGGTCAGCTCGATTCAAGATAAATGTCAGCCTATAAAAAAACATCCCCTTGGCTTCAATGTGCTCTGAACCAGGATTTCAAAAACTTGCAAATAGTTTTATATTAAGCAAGGGTCCTTCTGTCTGGCTGGGTACCGGTGACATAGGAGGGATGTTGATCTGTGAATGATACATGTAAACACTTACGCAACTTTGACAATGTTAGGGACAAAAATATCTTCAAGAATGTGCTTTGTTTGATAGCCAAGTCATAGAATTGGCCCTTCAGGAGAGTTGGGGCTATCCCTTGTCTCATATGGCTGCCTAGGGAGATATTTAATTGAAAAGGGAGGAATCCAGCCTGCTAGAACTCTAGCTTCTCTCAAGAACAGAAACTGGAAATACAGTTTTTGTATCAGCCTTACCTACATGGAAATCAGGAAACTGAAGCAGAAACAAGCTACTCCAGGTGTGAAGGGTTCGTCTTACAGACAGAAGAACAGTGATTTTATTTTCCTCTATGTAATACATGAAGTTACTTTTTGCACATGTATGGCATTGCTGTTGGACTTCGGAAGTTGAAAGTACATTGACTTGCTGAGCCAGTCACCTTTCTGCTTTACATTTTCAAAAAATGTAATAATTTTGATGTTAGGGATGAATGGAAGCAACATAGAAGAATGGGTGTGCCCACAGATAGCTCTGCAGAGCCTGCAGTACCCCTCCTTTGAATGTATCCTGCAGATAACACAGATTTATAACAGTGGTAAGGGAAGTAAAATTTGCATGAAGGAATGTTACTTGCCCTGGACAATTCTGTAAATGAGACAGGAGAACTGCAGGTCAGAAGTAAGAAAATACTATAAAAAATCAGGGAGAGAAAGGACCTTGCATGACCAGGGAAGAAGAGACGAATAGGAAATTCTGTAAGTCATAAACCTTTTCAGTTCATACATTGCTCCCTCAAGTGGGGAGAGTATTTGGAAGTAGAGTGTTCAAAGCAGAGTCTTCTTAGCAAAACCTGATACTACTAGATCTCAGATTGAAAAGTGAGAAACAAGGAGAATCACATCTTTTTTTTTCCTATTACCTTGAGAAGCTTTTCTGGGTGTTGAATAGTTGTAGTCAATAGCAAACATCACCAGAAAATTACCAGATCCTTGGTATGCAGATGCCTCTAGGTTTCTTGCTATGTAAGGGAAATTTACAGTAAGGCTAAAGATTGTTTGCAGAACATAGGTTAAAGCTGTCCCATTTCTCCATATAAGATGTTTGGTATGGCAAGTCTGTTTAGTTTACAGGAAGTAAAAAATGCTGGTGCAGTGCTAAATAACTGTTAATGAGCTCATCTCCTGAAGTCACTTCCAGAACTGCTACAGCCAGTGAAGAGCCTCCTGTTGACCCTGGACTCTAATCCAACAATGCCCTAGGACAAGGTTATATTACAGAGTTCCTCCAATCTAGTGAGCTGACCTCATTTCTTCACCTCATAAAGTCTCTCAGACAAACACCCGATTCTTTTTCCTCTACTAAAAAAAGTAGTCCTGATGCATGAGCAGGTAATAAATTTAAAATTACCAGAATATTAGAAAGATAAACCATTTCTAACTTACTTATTTTCTTGATTCCCTTCTGCAACCCATTTCCAGTTTATTTACAATGCTACATGGCTTTTATGAAATTAAACACCTTTCTTACTAAGAGTACAGCCTTCAGGAAAATAGTCTCAAATATTTTGGCTAAATGTTCCTTCTCCACTCAAATCTGTGTCTCTGTGTGTCAGTAATGTGTGTGTTCATGTGCACGCATCTCTATATATTTTTTTTTTCTCCAGGTATATGCATGCAAACACAAGTATACACAACAGAGCATTTTTCATCCCAAGAGTTTAACACCGCCAGAAGAGAGATGGTCTGTTTTATTCTGCCATTGAGAGGAGCTTTCAACTCTCAACATCTTACCCTGAGATTCACAATAATTACTGTTGTATGTAGAGCTCAGTCATTGGAGAGCAAAGTTGGCATTTAAAATTCTGTCTCTCTTGGAAAGTGTTGGATGTACTTGCTTATAAATAAATAAATAAATGCCTCCTATGTGATGGAGAGCAACACAGCCTCAAACAACTCAACCAGCAAAAAACAACATTGCTACCCTGTAGGCTCAGAAATCCATCACCACCCACGTCAGTTTTCATTTTAACACAGTTCCAGAGCTGCTCACATATATTCTGGTGCCCTGACTTGTAACGTAAGTGTGCATTTGCATCAGCATTTTTACAGAGGGGGAAAGCTGAGGTATGCATGAATTCACAAACTTTGTCAGAAGTGTGGACTCAAACTTAGGCAGTGCTAAATGCAGTTTGCAAGGGTGGCTGGTAACTCTTTCTGAGCCTCATGGGTTGGCCAAGCCAGGCAGGGAGCAGTAGTCTCAAGGCCTGTTTGCAGTAGTCCCTTAATTATCAATGGGAACTGTAGGAGGGTTTTTTTGTTTGGCTTTTTTTTTTTTAGCTTTGTAGCTATCATGTAGCCAGCCCCTGGATTATTAGTTTGTGTCGCTGTCAGTAGCTGTTGGCCGGGCAGTTTAGCATGCCAACATAACTTATGTATGCAGACACAGTGTTCAGTGGCTTGTGGACACCTGGAAACTAAAACCGAGCAAGCACGGCCCTGCTGCCATTTTCTCCAAAGGTCACTCAGGTGCTCTGGTCCCTGCAGAGAACTTGCCATACATTACCCATGTTGTAGTGCTCGGGTTCCAATGGATGAGCCATAAAGAAAATGCTAAGTGTTTCGGATTCCAAATTATTTTCCAGTACTTGCTGGTTCTTTCTTGTATTTGATTGGGGTTTTTGGCCTTTTTATTTTTTTAACTTGTTTTTTTTTTTTTTACTTGTTTTTTTGGTATTTTTTTTTAACTTAAAAAAAAGAAAGTTGCCAGAAAAGGAGAACAAGTCATGAATAATGTATCAAAAAGAATTAGTGAGCTTATTGTCTGCCCATGCCATTTGCAAACTGGGTAGGGGGTTAAACATTTTGATTAATGCCTTATGAAGCTTGGTTTGGGGTAAGCATTATTGTCTGGACATTCAAAACAAGTAATGGGAGAGTTCACATTCCCAGCTGTTCACCAGGGATTTGTGCCAAGTTGTGTAACCTTTCCGTGGCACAGTTTCCCTGCCTTTGAAGTGTGCCTAGACACCTACCTGTATGTAGATGTAATGAAAATTTATGTCAGAAGCACTCTGAGATGAAAGGTGCTGTATGAGTGCAAAGTACTGCTGCTGCTGATATTGTAAGAGGTCAGGGACTCGTTTAAATTGTGTAGGACTTTAGTACAATATAAACAAGGAAGCTAACAGCGTCCTATAATTGGTGTACAACATGACTGTATGTTATTGCCGCAACCACATTACTAATAGGGTAGGGTGATGGAAATGTCCTAT